ACATTACACCGATTTCGTTTTATTAGACTAACTTGAGAGACCAACCCGATCTAACTATCGGCCGATTGCAAGTCTGAAGTATTTAATACGATATTAATGGAAAGGGGAGAATTTTACGAGGGGGATATAATTTTTTCCTTACCCTGAATATAATATAGAGATGTCTATTTTAAGGTAGACATCTTGTTAGTTATCAAGTTATCTATGGGCAGCAGTCTCATTGTTTTAACGATATTACGTGACTGCTTGCTATCTTATACTATAAAAAAAATCAACCTCATTCACTACAAATTATTGTAATCAAGATGAGTGAGGTAGGGTAAAAGACTAGTTCAAATTGCAAAATGTTTCTTTAAATGATGACGTAAATGAATAAATCAACACCTTTGTGAAGGTCCTTTGGTATTTATATGAATGGGATCTAACAAATAGGTTCAAATGCAAATTAAACTTTGTATAGTATGTTATGCATAAAAATCAATACTTAAACTAATTTAAACAAAAAAAATATAAAATCTAAAAAGTTGTAGTAAAGGTCCATACATGTTGGACAAAAAAAATGTTATGGAAAATGCTAAAATATTGAATTGAAAAGTCCTTGTAAAATGTTTATGTAATTTAAACTTACTTTCTTAATGAAAAGAGTGTAATTTTGTTTGAAATAAAAACTGAATCAATTAAATTAAGCTTGTCAACTCTCGATTTCTTAGAACACTTACATATGAGAATATTAAAAATGTTACAATATTAATTTTTAAAATAACATTGTATATAATCAATATTTAGCTTTAGTTAGCTCATTCATGGAGGGTACAACTTTTTTTGTAATTTGATTATCATCTTGGTTGCGGCATAATTGTTATTTCATGTACTTCATCGCGCAACCTTAATTTTTTTCAAGGTAAAAAATATATTGTTGATGTTTAAAAAAAAAACAGTTATGTTCAGTTCCTCTGGATTTTATAGAAATATATAGGTCCAAATGAGTTTAAACTCGGAATGTATCTCAAATACTGATCAACCAAGATGTGTTATCTAAAATATGTGTAATCTATTGTACATAGAAAACATAACACTGCGGAATTTATATGGAATTCTTGATAATGACATATTTTTTGTAATTCTCAAATCTAAACATTTACCCCAAAGTAAGTGTCTTGTAACTGGAAGTTGTTCTTTCAATTGTTACAATTTCTAAAGTAGTACCAAATCATTTGAGTGCGAATGTAAACGTGATGATATGTGAAATTGATGTATGTAGGTATTTGTAAAATAAATTTAAATTTATACAAAAATGTAGTTTTATGTAATTCTACAAAAAGGCCCTTTTTTAATTTATTTAGACTTATAGATCGGAAAATTCTTGAGAAAGAAGAAACTGCTCATTATTAAATCAACAGTAAATGAATGTTTGACTTATTTTTCTGGTTAGCGAGTAGAGCTAGAGAAAATGGAATAAGGAAACCTGCACATTTGTAACGAAATTCACATAATTAAAGATGGCTGCACTGGGCCCGCGTGGTTTAAGATAAGTCGAGCCTCTCACGATGATAAGGATATCAATAAAAAGTATATTGCACGTAAATTTAGGAAGTTCATGAAAAAGTCAACCTTTAACAATTTTATCGATTTATTAGAAGACATTAACAAGGTACGAGGCTAGTTGTAATTAGGGTATTTAGCGACCGGCTTCGTTCATGCCCTTCGGCAAAGCGAGCAGCGAGTTGATGAGGTCCGCGTTGCGCTTCCACGTGCGGTACTTTGTGTCGATGAGCGCGTTCGTCTCGATCACCAGCCGGCCCGCGCCATCGCCTCGGTTGCTGTACGCGTTTACCATCGAATGTACATGACGCACGTACTGAAAAGAATTCTACAAATTAATCATACGTAGAGCTGAGTTTATGTACGCATTTGTAATAGGGTAGCTACAAAACCAGCAGTGGAACCTGCTAGTTCTTATTGACTCACTACGTTCGCGACATTTACCATATCGTATCTTATTAATGTACCATCGTCTATGCGTGGGAGCAACAGAGCTGTAGCAAATGCGTAAACTGTCACTTACATACAAACATCGTGATATTATTAACATTTAGATCATCAGATAACGGCAGATAAAAAAAATGTATTTATTACTCCGTCATTATCAAGATAAACTGGATCCTAATCGTTGTTCCATAGTATACTTAAAATATGAAAATTGTGCAAAATGTATAAACTTTTTGTACAAACTTTTGAACAAATAATTCGACATTTGATATTTTTAGGACAATAAAGCTAGATTCGATTTTTGTAGCTTTCCGTAACTTTAATTCTCTCACGTTTTAGTACAAACAACGGTCTTTACATAATTTGATTGTGCTAAAATTTTATTTGATTGTGGGCAAAACGCCGAAAGTACCGACAATGTACAAATATAATGATATTTCTTCCACTTTGGATGTAATGGGAAAAACTCATACAATGGGATGAACAAGGAGGAGTTACGTATTTGTTTTTATTATAATTTGAATAAAAAATATAGTAATGTAGCGTCATATATGCCAAATTTCATTAATATTCGGTTAGCAGTTCTGGAGATAATAATAACAAACATTCATCTATCAATCTTAATTCACATTTATATTAGTAACTAGCCCGCAACTTTGACCACGAAATATTAAAATATAAAAGTAGCCTATAATAAAAATTAAATCAAATCAAACGAAATATGACCGTCTAGGCCCAGCCGTTTCGAAAATTGCCCGGAACAAAGGCGGCTTGCGGACAGACAGACAGACAAAAAAAAACATACATACGAATTGAGTATCTCCTTCTTTTCGGAAGTCGGTCAAAAAAATGTAAATGCGATTTTTTTTTTAAATCTGGAATTTTACTGGAATATCAAAATATTACAAACAGACACTCCAATTTTATTACATGATCAGGAGATTAATCTTAAGACATTCTTATAGTAATGTAATACCTGTTCGTAAATAAAGTATGGAAGTGTGTCAAATACCTCCTTGTTGACGAGGTAAGGTGTAAAGTTTACGTCGGTCTTGATGGTGTATAGTGACACTTGTGGCAGAAGAGCAACTATCAACACATAAACCATTGTGCGCCATGCTGTTCTCATTCTGAAACAATTGACGTTGATCATAAAACACACATAATACAAATTACCACACCAAGCCCAACCCTTAGTTTGTGGCAATATAATATAGTTTAGACGAAAATGTTAATCTCGTTTTGGGCTTTATTATAATATCGTTTAGTTGGAGTTTTTCGTATTTAATGTGAACTTACTAAGCTTAAAAAACATACAAGTGATTGAGAACCTCTTCCATTTCAAAGTTAATTTAAGGTGGGTTAAGACAAATATTAAGTTCTGACAAAATTAAGTCACAAATTTCAAGATTCAAAGTTTTCATGGCTCAGTTTTATTGACCACAATAACTTAAGTTATAATAAGTTAGTAGAATTTAAATAAAAACACTGAAAACTATTGTTGTTTACAAATTTAAATTCTTCATACATTATTCTGTTACCCAATATTGGCTATTTTCATTCCCGATAGCATTTTTAAACTTAACACTTCGCAACAAAAACAGAACTATTTCAAAATACTTAATAAAAACATGATTTTACAGAAAAAGGTTTTTGCCACCGATATAAATTATTAATTACCTTATATTAAACACGACAAAATGAAAAAAAAAAATTCACAGATTCTCCGGTAAAAATTTGTATTTGGCGCGAAAAAACAATTCAGTTGTTTCTACGGTTGTTTGTGGTTGAATGAGAGAGTGCATGGCGAGAGAGGCGAGGCGTTAGCGGTGCTTTGCTCTAGTGGGTGGATGAGGTAATCTAGGGTTGGGGTGGCCCACCTCCACAGCTCACTGGGGCGTGACATCCCGCGCTGTTTGCGACAGCCCTGCCGCGATACGCAGCCCTGACTCTCGCAAACCTTCCTTTACTTGCGTATTTTTATATATTTATAGATAACTTCGACATGATTTATCTGATGTACGCCAATGGTTTATTTTAACTTCGCTTATGAAGTATTCAATCGTTTTTATATAAATAAAATTAGGAAAACGTCATTTATAAGGCTCTATTTATAGCAATCGGCGTCATTAATTAGTAACTAAGGACACTTTATGCGTTTTCTATTGTTAAATCTATATTGTAGCGTATCACTTAACACTACGAATGTGGTAGTAGGATAACTGAAATATAACGACTGTAGAAATATTTGTTACAGATAGAAAGTGAAATCAAGAAATAATCAACAATTCCACAGTCCGTAGTTCTGGTAGTCATAGTTTTTCCTGTACATTGTTATCTTACATATGAAAGCTACGCTTCGATGCTTTCAGTTGTTAATGAAAATCGATTATACAAAATGCAGAATGATGATCGATACTTAAAAACCTAATAAACACTGTCGTTACACCTACTCAAAGAAGATTACGTTGAGTGGGTACTTCGCAATTTTCATTCTCAAAATGTCAACTTATCAATCTTATCTTCCAATATTCAAGTTCAAAACAATGGGTCTCTTGTTAGTAGCTAGCTGTAGTCACAACTGATAAAGTCACAATTCGTATCTTTCTTTATATTTCGGTGAGCATGCACTATAACTTAATATTAGTGTAAAATAAAACTGCATTTCCTAAAATTACATTTTATTTTTTGATATTACCTCGTAACAAAGTCGCAACTTATTGCGGTTTGCAAACTTTTTCTGCATACTTCTCCAACCATTCTTTTAACTCCGATATTTGCTGCTTGACAGCAGCTTTTGCAGTACCTCCAGTGCTAACATATTGTTCTACGCTTGCTTCCCAAGAGAACAGCTTCTCGATATCTTCTTTACTTCCGAATTCAGGACTGGAACAAATACAATTAATACCAGGGTTATTGTGCCGAAGTATTGTTTTGTGCCAACAAGGTGTTGCGTATGGAATTTCGACAATCCGATTATCTTGTTTTCATAATACATTTACCAAATAGCTAAATATTCATCGTGGGACATGTCTCTAAGGTCAATGGCAAGCTCTGCGGCCCGTTGCAACACGGCGCCGATCAAATGGTGCGCACGTCTGAATGGCACTCCACGACGAACCAGCGCATGAGCTAAGTCCGTCGCCAGCATGCCCGACTCTAGCAATGCTTCACCTCTTGCCGCGTTAACCTGGTAGTAATTAAATTTATTTGATTTCACATTGCATTAGAATATTAATCAATAATACTAAGAAAACGCGATGCAACAATCACCTTCATTGTAGTTATAGTACCAGTAGCAACTTTAAGGCAACCCAGCAACTTATCGAAGGACCTGAACATGATCTCTTTATCGGACTGCAAGTCTTTATTGTAAGTGCTGGGTAAGCCCTTAAGCACGCAGCTGAAAGCGAACGCATCGCCAAGAAGAAGCCCAGCGGCACCACGTATCAGCTCCAGACCGTCAGGGTTACGCTTCTGAGGCATCAGACTTGAGCCCGTAGAGAACTGGTCGGAGAATTTAACCAATCCGAACTCCTGGCTGCCGTATAAGATCAAGTCTTCCGCTAGTCTGCTGAGATGCATGCCACACATCGATGACCAGTTGAGGAATTCCACTGCATTAAACAATAGACTATTATTTTTATAAGGAAGAACTCATTCGAATACTTTTTAAACAAGATACAAGGAAACATAACAAAAGCTGAAGTTAATGCTTCTATTCCCAGTAGACAACAATTCTTGCAGTCATTATATAATGTTTGAAAAGATAATAAGTTAGTTATTAGATCTGAGACGTGACAGGGACGTTATTTATGGAGTTTTAATCGTAACATATAAAAAATTCTGTTCGATGAAAATAAGCATTATTAGGCATTGAAAAATAATATTACGTATGTGATCCCTGCAGCCAACGGCGAATAAAGAATTAGGTGTGACGCAATCAAAGCCCAGGCTGCGAGCCAGTCTGTGGCGGTTTATGTGAAGAGCGCAGCCCGCCAGCGCGCCACTACCGAGAGGACTGCTCGAAAGCCGACACTGCTGCTCCTCCAACCTTAGCACATCATCACGTAGCATCCACGCGTAACTAGTAACAATTAATAATGTTAAATAAGTATTAATAGCGACGATACTTATAAGACAAAAGGACAAAAGATGCTTTATGGAGGTGGAAAACCCGCTACCTACTCCAAGTACTGGGTCTTTCTTGTAAAATGTACGTCTTACCTCATCAGAAAATGGCTCCAACGAATAGGCTGAGCACGCTGCAAATGTGTATAACCAGGAATAATAATGTTTATTTCATTTTCAGCGCGATCCTTTAACTCCTGCAAAAAAGGTTTACTAATAAGTTTTTGTCTTGTCGCGATTTTTATATATATAGAAAGGCATTTTTGTACTGAAGTTATTACCATTATAAGTTTTTTGATTTCATTGATCAAGCTGGGCAAGTTATTCATCATCCAGAGCTTGGTGTCTGTGGCGGACTGGTCGTTGCGGCTGCGAGCGGTGTGCAGGCGCAGCGCCGCTTCACCGGCGTGAGCCCGCAGCCGTCGCTCTACTACTGAATGGATATCTTCCTCTGCATCATTCAACCGTCCGTTCTTACATAACTCTTCGGATATTTCCGTTTCTACCTTAAGAAGTAAACGATTTAAACCATTCATCTATAAAACCCTTATTTGCACAATTTATAAATATAACGTAGAGACACATTACAGTAACTCAGATTACATTAAAATATCTTAGACCGTCTTATGTAAACCGTTCTTACTTAGGTACTGCGTTGGCGCAGCAAGCAGCAACCCAAAGTGGGTCCTGGCCTCCGACACGAGGGAGCGCCAGCGGCGTCTGTCCTGCATCGTCGCCAGGTCACTGAACGTTCGGTGTAGGCTTGTCTTGCTTTATTAATTAAATTCCGTTCCTATTTAATGTTCGAGTTGTTCTTACCTTTTTTAAACCTTGGTGAATAGCTTCGTAATCATCATCAGTGATATATCCACAGTGATTCAGTTCGCGGGCCCAAGCTATGCTCCCTCGGATATCTTGTTGATATAGCCGCACATCCACGCCCAATGAGTCGTTCAGCCGACGCAGGACGTCCGAAGGCTCCTCTTGAAAACATCCACCCCATAACTGGTACCGATCCTGAGTATACGAAAGAGTAAAGATAATTAAGCTTATCACACTTAACAACTAAATAAACTGTAGATTTTGTTTCCTCTTCTTGGGTTTTAGAACATGGTCTAGGGTACTTACGGACATTGTTCTCGTATTTAGTTAAGTAAACGCTACTCTTGTTTATCTCTTCTGTAAAATAGTGCCTTGAATCTTTTATCTAAAATGAGTAGATAGTTATTTGCCGCTTATTCATTATCTTTATGAATAAATATTGCGACCGCTTATATCTCCGGGGTTATAAGGTTATATGTTATTTCTGCTTTTAATATTTACTGGTATGGAAAGAATCGATGATTTGTATTTTAATGTTAAATTAACTAAACTCAATCTCTTGTTTTAGACAACATGGACTTCGTGTAGAAGCATCAAGCATCATTTGCTCTTCCAATTCAGAAGAGCAAATGTGTTCTGTGGGCACTGAAATAGCACAGGTGGCTCAAACCAGTGGTGCCATTGACGGTTTTGAGTGGTATGTGGGCTTTTATGGAAATACTTTAAATAGAATTTTAACGCAACTTATTTGTACATTTATCATTGAGATTATTTTCTTTTGATTTTTCTTATATTTTTTTTATGTGTTAAAAACGTTTTTGAACGAAATCTTGTCAATGTCACATGTCACAAATTATGACAATGACATTGACATTTGAGTCCTACAGCATGGTTGATAGGCAACTTTTGAATTCGTAAATAATTTGAAACAAATGACCGAATTCATAATATATTTTGTTATAAGGTGAAAACCCCTTTTATATAGTTTTTAAAATTATAGCATAAGTAAATAAAAATTTAAGTTAACAGGTGATAATGGAACTTGATTCAAATGAAACTAATGATTTGGACTTCGGTGTTGAGAAAAACTTTCGTCAATACACACTTTTTGATATCTGCAAAGATCCTGGAATGAAAGACGATGAAGGCAACGAACTACCGCGACCGTTTACAAAAAATCAAATGCGAAAATGGTTAAAAAAAGTTCGATGGGAAAATAATAAACAAGGCAAACGTGCTAAAGAGAAAGCGCGTGCAAAAGAAAGAAGAAGAAATGCACGTGTTGCGAATATTGATCTAGGACCAAGTAGAAAAACGTTAAAGAAAATGAAGTTGGAAAAATCTAAAAAGAACATAGGAATTATAATTGACCTTAGTTTTGACCATTTAATGATTGAAAAGGATAGATTTAAAGTGATTAAGCAAATTTTAAGATGTTACTCCATAAACAGAAGGTCAGAAACGCCACTACAGTTTCATTTAACAAGCCTGGGAGAGAAGGCAAAGAGTGATATGTCACGGCATAATGGTTTTGAAAACTGGGATGTGAGTAATTTTTTTGTTTATTTTCTATATTTTTATTATTGTATAATGTTTTACTATCACATTTTAGATTGAATACCATGAACAGCCTTATTCAGAACTATTTCCAAAAGACAAACTGGTTTACTTAACAAGTGAGTCGGACAATATTATTGAACATTTTGAAGAAGACACATATTACATAATTGGTGGCTTAGTGGATCATAATCAACACAAGGTAACAATTCCTATAAAAATTCCAATACTCCATGTTGAAGACCATTTTGATATTACAGTCGTCTGTTAAATTTCCATTTTGCTTGCCCATATTTAATGTATTTGATACTTTGTTCATTGCATATTCTTTTTTCATCTATCTTGTATTATTTTACTCTATAAAGTGTATTAAGTCACCCATTTGTTTTGAAAGAAAAAGGATATTTCCTTTTTCTAGCCATCCTCTTCACATTAAAAAAGGGTAAAAAGGAAGAGGATTTTACTTGGACACTGGTATAAAATATTAATTGTTTTTGCATGCAATTTTTATGACCTTTTTTATTTATTTATTTTCAGGGTCTATGTCATAAGATTGCTGTAGAACAAGGTATTAGACATTGTCAATTGCCATTAAATAAATATGTTAACATGAAAACAAGAAAGGTTTTAACAATTGATCATGGTAAAGTATATGATTTCTGTTTCTAAAATTTTATTTAGAAATCTTTTAAAATTGAATTATACTATTACAAAGCCTAGTCATCCCTAAATATAAGGCAAAGAATTTTTCTTATAGTAAAATTTATTAAGTAACATTAATTTTAGTAACTTGTGGCTTTATATTTTATTTGTAAGCTTTTCTGACAGTGAAAACAGCTATAAGTCCTATATGACAGAAATTGGAAAGACACAGAAATGATTTAAAAACGATGTATTTCTTTTAATTACAGTATTTGAGATTGTTTTAAGAGTTTGCGAAGGTGTTCCATGGCAGGAATCTATATTGGAAGTGTTGCCACATCGGAAAGGGGCATACATCTGCAATAGTTCCTATGAATCAAATACAACTGAAGATTATTCTAATCCAAGTATAAATGGTACATGACAGTATATATTATATTATATTCAAATACATAATCTGTGAGCTGTGTGTGATTAAAATGCAATACATATTAATATATTTGTTGAATTATACATTCTGTTGTTTTCTATCAGTTGACAATGTTGTTTTAGTTGAATTTTCATACTTTGATTTCAAGGCAAACTTTTTCAAGAGAATACTTTCCTTTCTCTACATGACTGTTATATACTTGTATAGGTTTTTTTTAGTAAGGAATGTACGAACTCTGGTTATTTAATGAAAACATATTGTGTACAGGTAAAATGCAAAAATATACTTTAGGAACATAATGAAACACTTTCCATGTTATGTTTTATTGACATAATAACATAAGTTTATAAATTTACAACACAGATATACAGATACACAGATATGGTACTTGATATCATTTACTGTATTATAAGAAAAATTGCATAATGTAAGCATTGTAGCTAAATATAAGCAAGATGGACCGATGATCTGGTCAAGGTTGCGGGAATATCCTGGATGCGGGAGGCACAGGACCGATCACTGTGGCAATCGTTGGGGGAGGCCTATGCCCAGCAGTGGGCGTCATATGGCTGAACAGGAGTTTTTTCTGACGTTAAAAAAATACATAGCGAAAGCGATCCTGTACTAAAATTTTCAAAGCATTAACATAACTTTTTAAAGCATTCTGATTTTCCCTACTAACAATCCTTTGGTATGATTGCTTTAGAATATAAATTAAGACTGTAATAAATATTACTTATTTATATGAGTGTTAAGATAACTTATCCTATTTTCGGTTTTCATCTATATTATCTTTAGAAATCGTCATGTTTCAGTCAAGAAAGTTGACGAGAAATAAGTGTATTTTAGACTCTATTACATCAGAGTCTAAAGTACACTTTATTCATATTACTTTTCCAGTTATATCTAACCGACATTGATGGTAATATATTCGCTAAGTATATTAGTAATACTGCATTACTATCGTTTTACAAACGTTTTGCTCAGAGTTTTAGTGCATTGAGTTTTGTAATGGACATGTTTACAGATATAATTAAACTCAGTAAAAACGCATCATAAATTGTGCTCAACTACCGTAACAATTAAATAAATACTACTCAGCGCAATGTACTTATTAAATTAAATTATACTTTTCATAAAACGGCAGTATTAAATTTGCTACTTTTTCCGGTTCGTTTAAATGCAAGTGATGTGTGCCAGGCACAAAATGACAGTCAAATTTCGGATTCGTCTTCATAATCAGTTCGCGCATTTCCACAGAAAAGTCGTCTGACGCGAAAGGAGAGTCCAAACCTTTAACATATAAGGTGGGACAAGACAATCGTTTAGCGAGCGCTTCCACGAACCGTTTGTCTTCCGGATTAAACAGAATATGTTTCAACCTTGAATCTCTTGAAAAATAGAATCTGTTAGGATCACTCGACGACGGCTTCGAACCGCGCGTTAATAAGTACTTAACACTGTCCATGGCAACAGATTCTCTTGTGCCCTTATGCCAGATTTTAATCATCTCTTCTATGGTATAAGACGGTGGTTCATCGTTTAACCGCGTCTGTGCTTTTTGCATTTTCAACATTGTTCTCGGATATTTGTCGACGACTGCGTTCAAGTCGTAATCGTCAGCAATAAGACTGTCGATGGCGATGTAGAAGGTAACGTCATCAGGGAACAATGTGGTGAAGCGAAGTCCGGCAATAGAGCCCATAGAGTGACAGAGCAGCGCGATCTTGTCCCATTTGTAATATTCCTTTATGTAGAGTATTAGACGAGCGAACTCCCACGGGTAGTACACCATACCTGGATTTTTTTTTATTCAATTACAGGTTAGATCGAAATCCGTGTTTGATTTTATCTTTTTCAGGGAAGTTACAGATAGACTTTTCTTATAGCAAACATTCGCTTACTTTAATTAACAAAACTATTGGCTCAAATATTAAGCAATTGGCAGAAATGCTGTTCAAATGTTATCAACCAATAGACAATATCAAGAGTCGAATCTCTAGGATATCCTAAATGCAAATTAAAAACTAATTCTAACATAACAATACAAGACACCTAAATCGAAAATGGTTTTGGCAAGTAGATAAGCTAGTTCTGATAACAATGGCTAATGAATAATTCATGATATATACTGTTTTTCTACACAAACCGATTTCATAATAACCTTTGGACATTTATTTAAATAATCAGTATTTATATTAAATATACGAGGTCAGAGTTTATTCGTAACTATTGTTTAACACTACAGGAAAATTTAATCAAGAAGTAGACAACATCTTTTTAAACCGACAGTTAAAAAAAAAAAACAGCAATTTATTGAGGCTATGATAAGCAAAGATACACTTTTAGGAGATCTGAATCTTTCTGCAAAGAAATATAATATTAAACGACATACCAGGTGGGAACCACGACGATAGCCCGTGTCCCGGAAAGTCAATGGCGAGTATGGGTCGTTTTTTGTATAGCAACGGCGCCAAGGTGTCCCACGTCCCAGCGTTATCCTGCCACCCGTGCAGCGCCAGGATTGGCTGCTCATTCTCATTACCCCAAAGTTTACCAGATACATGACCCCATTTGACGGGGATCTTTACTTCCTTTGGTGTCACCTGTAAATAGATACGGCTGTTTTAATAATTCCTTTAATAATAAAGTACAGAATAGGCAATAAACTTTTGTAGTAACAATTAGAAAAGCATGAGTTCCACTTTGAGCAGTAAAATCTTATCATAGATATAGCTTGTATAGTGATTATCAAACTATTAAATACAATTTCATGAGGTACAAAGTCTAATTGTAAATTTTTGAGACGCGTGTCACAAATACATACAAAAAATTGAACCATTGGATATGTGAAGGCAGCAGGACTTTCTGATAACACGACCATACATTTTCCAAATCACAAATATTTTTGTACTTCTCGTATAATAGGTTACACGCTTTGAACGTGTGACTTACTAATATTATAAATGCGAAAGTTTAGATGGATGGATGTTTGTTAGAATTAATAGCCTAAACGGCTGAACAGATCTGGATGAAATTTGGCACAGATATAGAGCACAACCTGGAAGAACACATACCTAGGCTACTTTACTTTTTCAATACCACTTATTTTTTTCAATACCACGCGGACGGAGTCCCGGACGAAAACTAGTTTTAATATAATGAAATCTGCGACAATAAACACTATGCTGTTGTAAAAAAACATGGAAATACGGTTTTTGCAATTTTATTTTTGTCGCCACTTTTGTTAATTTAAGTTGATCAAATGCATTTCATTAATTAAAAATGGAATATTTAATTATTTTTTATTCGTATTCAGTTTTTTTTTACTTTCTATCCTTGTCTAATTTTTATTAAAAAAATTAAAAAAAAAATTAAGGTGCTTCTGCAAAATCATTTTTTGAATTCAATTGATTATTTAAATTGTTACTTACGTCACCCATGTGTAACCTCCGAGTAGATAATGCACTTATGATTCCTAATGAAGTATTATTTTTTACACACTTAGAGGTTAGAATTAAGGATTTCAAGAGATTCTTCGCCATGTTTAATAACTGATTTACACTATATGACTAGAAATGATTCAGTTTTATTGCAATTAATAAAGAACAAACTGATGCTAGTCAATTGATAACATTTTGTACAAACTCTTTAAAAATGTAACATAATAATTTCGTCTGTTTCACTATAATAGTTTAGTCATGATCACTGAATAATACGGAAATTCGCTGCGACAAAACGTCCTAGCTATAAAGATAACCTCACTTCACTGTATCGGTATGGATTTGCTTGGCCAAGGTCTACTCAGCTGACGTATTTATACATGTCTATCTTTGTGTACATGTAAACGCAGTTACATTTAGGGCCGCCACCTCTTCGAACTTCGAGTTAGGTTAGACATCTAGGATTTCGGGTCACAATAGATGACGGACCTATGTGAAATAAAACAAGTAATTTTTCGTTGTTCTATAGTAATCAAAGCAGAACGACATTTTTTTGTTGGAAACGATTAACAAATCACTGATTCTTGCTTTCATCGCTGCCCGCGTTCGGATGTGATGGATGGGCAACCCTAGTATCACTACTGAACTAAAGCAGTTCGCGAGTTAGACTTTGCTCCTTTGTACAACCGCAAGAGTATTTTCATATTGCGTAATAATTATTTATATTTTAACCAACCTAAATTATTTTATGCAATAAATTAAAGATTTTTATAACATGAAAATGTTTTTGTTTTACCCAACGCAATTACAGTAGACACCTATTGTAAAGGCCGCTAATATGAGAAACAAGCTTGGTAATGTTATCGCTAGATTATTCATTTAAAAAGCAATTTAATTAAAATAACGCGATAATAAAAAACTACAAATTATGGTTATTTGTTTTATTTCATGTGTCATTATAAGTAAGATTAGAAAACAATTACTACATTTTAAAGACAGTTATAGTCAACGGCGGATCCAGGGGGGGGGGTTATGACCCACCCCCTTTAGCTGTTTGGTTAAGAGCTTGACAAAATGTTTACATATTTCGTCAAGGACTTGACCACGATGAACCTCTCCCCCCGGCACCAAAGCTGGATCCGCCTTTGGTTACAGTTAAAAGGACACATGTATGTAGGTAAGATAATTTTACTTTTCCATTTTAAAAACGAACCGAGATATTGCCGGTAGTATATTCGGTAAATATATAAGTAATTCAATATTATAACATTTTTTTACAAACAAACTTGTATTTGCTACGTGTTCTCGCACACAGAAATCGAGTACCTATAATTACGAATTTAAAAATTTGGTACCTAATCAACGCTTCATAATCATATATTGTGTTATCGCAATGCTTAAATACATATTGTAGTAATTATTACATTAAATTATACTTTTCATAAAACGGCAATATTAGATTTGCTACCTTTTCAGGTTCATTTAAATGCAAGTGATGTGTGCCAGGCACAAAATGACAGTCAAATTTAGGATTCGTCTTCATAATCAGTTCGCGCATTTCGACAGAAAAGTCGTCAGACGCGAAAGGAGAGTCCAAACATTTAACATATAAAATGGGACAAGTCAATCTTTTAACGAGCGCTTCCACGAATCCCTTGTCTTCCGGATTAAACAGAATATGTTTCAACCTTGAATCTCTTGAAAAATATAATCTGTTAGGATCACTCGACGACGGCTTGGACCCGCGCGTTAATAAGTACTTAACATTGTCTACAGTGATAGATTCCCTTGAGGCCTTGTACCAAATATTAGTCATCTCTTCTATGGTATAAGACGGTGGTTCATCGTTTTACTGCGACTGTGCCTGTTGCATTTTCAACATTGTTCTCGGATATTTGTCGACGACTGAGTTCAAGTAATAATCGTCCGCAACGAGATTGTCGATGGCGATGTAAAAGGTGACGTCATCAGGGAATAATGTGGTGAAGCGAAATCCGGCAATGGAGCCCATAGAGTGACAGAGCAGCGCGATCTTTTCCCATTTATAATATTCTTTTATGTCGAGAATTAGACGACCGAACTCCCACGGGAAGTACACCATACCTGGAAATTATTTTATTCGATTATATAAGTATTAGAAAATCGAAATAAATTTAAATTCTCAATGCTATCTTACTTTTTTTATAACAAAGGGACTGGTTGAAACTATATAAGTATTGACCAAAATTAGAATCACCATTCTTTAATGTTATCAATCGATAGAAAATATCAAAGGTTTTTACTTGTTTTCTTTTAGCATTAGTATAAAGTATACGAGATCCCAGTGTTTATTCGTAATTGTTGTTTATCACTACAGGATAATTGGGATCTAATCGTAAATAAATAAGTAGATAACTTACGTGTAAACCAAGAGTTTAAAAAAAAACAGCTCTGTGAATCCATTGTGATCGATTGAGCAAAGATACACATAACTTTAGGAGATCTAAAACTTCCTGAAAGTATTACATTTTAATTAAACGACGTACCAGGTGGAAATCACAATGATAGCCCGTGTCCAGGTAAATCAATAGCGAGTATGGGTCGTTTTTTGTATAGCAACGGCGCCAAGGTGTCCCACGTCCCGGCGTTTTCTTGCCATCCGTGTACCGCCAATATCGGCTGCTCATTCTCATTGCCCCAAAGTTTAGCAGATACATGACCCCATTTAACAGGGATCTTTACTTCTTTTGGTTTTACCTGTAATAAGATTCGGCTTTTTTAATGATTCGCTTTGTTAAAAAAACAAATATTGTCATGCAAAAGTTTCGTGAGTTAATTAACAGCTATTAACAACATCAATTGTTTCCAATTTAAGCTGTCAAATGTGATTATTTTTCATAGCTTCTTAGTAACTAACATCAAACTAATAGATTATTTCAAGAGCATCAGTTCAATCGTGAATTTATTAGACTCGTGATTTATTAATTTACAATTGGACTGTACGAAATGTGAAGGACATTTTTTGTTGCCTCACAAACAATTTCTGCAGCAGAACTTTCCATAACATGCATATCCATAGATTTTACGTTTAATTATTTTATGACGATTTTATTTACGTAAAGTACGTTAGCGTGGATTTAAAAAACAATGGTCGGCTATAACATTCCCGTGCGCTTCTACCTTACCTTCTAATCAAAGTCCCTTCAAAATCGATCCATCTCTGCTGTAGAATTAAAAAAAGTAGCCTATAATATGCCCGTCCGTGTCAGCTACCCTCCAGTGAAAGCCCCGTCGATATCCGCCCAGCATTTTCGGATGTCACCCGGAACAAGCGCGGCTTGCGGACAGATATAGACAGACAAAAATGTGATTTTCGTTATCAGCAACGCAAATACATTATCTTCCCAAAATCTGGAATATTTCTTTTGATATTACATTCACACACTCCAATTTTCTGATAATTTGCGCCGTGTAATTGCCAAGACTTTATAATGGCCACGAACTACACTTTGCTACTATAGTAGGGGAAGGCTATTTTTTTTTAATTTCGCGCTGTCATATTGGCGAATAACCGCTATCTCTGGAACGGGTGGACCGATTTTAACGATACTTTGGCCGGAAGGTTGCTGGTACGAGGTAGATGCATGCGGATTTTTTTTTAAATTCCGCGGTAACTAAGTTTGCGAGCGACAGCAGTTAATAAAATTGAGTGTAGAACATCGAAAAAATACATATTTCGCAAATATGGTATATTTGCGTTGGTGATAAAGAAAACCTAATTAAAAATTTTGTCTGTCTGTCCCCAAGTCGCGTTTAGTTCCGGGTAGTCTCCGAAACGTCTAGGCCGCTTTTGAAGGTCACTGCTGAGTAGCTGAACTTACTACGCAGGAATATTTTGAGCAAACTTTTTTTAAATTCTGGAGTGTCAATATTGCGGCGACCGTTATCCCCGGAACGGTTGGACCGATTTTGCCAAAAAGGTGGAAGGTGGGAATCTTGTAGACGACCATTTAAAAAAAATACGCGCTGACGAAATTGCGGATGATCGCTAGTTTTTAATAAAAATAAGTGGATTACATTTTTTAATTTAATTCAAATTCAAAAATGACTACATCTATCATTGTTGTATACTTTTTTTAGTTAAAAAAAAGTAACAAAAATATGAACAAACTTAATTTTTTTGCAAAAATATTTATTCAACTTAATTTAATATTCGAAATTCTACTCACGACACCCATGTGTAGCCTCCGAAAAGATAAAGCACTTAAGATTCCTAATGAGGTATTATATTTTACATACTTAGAGGTTAGAATCACGAATTTCAAAATATTCTTCGCCATATTTATGTCTCGAATTAAACTTTATATGACAAGGAGTGTTATAGTTTTGATGCATTTATGCACACTGAAATGCAAACAAAACTTATGTAAGGCAATTGATAACATTTTGTGCAATTTCATGTACTTTAGTCATTATCACTATAGCTACGAAAATTCACTGCAACAAAACGTCCTAGCTACAAAGACAACGTTATTGGTATGAATTTGTTTGACCAAGGTCTACTCAGCTAACGTTTTCTACATATCTATCTTTGTGCGCATGTAAATGCAAAATTGAATTTAGGGCTGCCACCTCTTCGGATTTCGATTTAGGTAGACCCCGAATAATTAGTGCATTGCGTAGTTAAGCTACGGGCTTGACATTATGGTTTTCGAGTCAAAAGATTCGAAAGAATATTTTCATATCGTGCAATAGTAACGAATAATTTTTTAAATGTAATTATCCATTTTACACGAAAACTGATCTTAATTTGTTTTATGGAATAATAACAGTGGTAGAGTCCGCTTTAACATCTTCGCAC